AAATCCACATTTAATAGATAGAAAGTTAGATGTAGTGTGCTTTTAAATTTATAGTTTTGCATGTACATTTAAGAAGATAAATTTTAGTGGTAGAGATAAAAGGTGGTGGGTATTATTAGCTTAATTAGTCAGGTTATTAGATATGTAATTTATTTTGTTGTTTATTCCATCATGTATATTACTAGTTTAAAATTGTTATAAATTGAATATGTTCATTTTCATGAAATGCATTTATAAATATGAAAACAAAATTGTCATATATTTTTTTGGTAATTCACAAAAGAGTAGTTAAATTTCATGTTTGAATGTGAAAATCTGCTATAGGTCTATCATTCTGCATTGTACCTTGAATTTGTTGGAACTGCTCTTGAAATGATTCAAGAGTATAAATACCAAATAAATATTAACATAAATTCATAAAATTTTGTGTAAATTTCTTACTGACAACAGACATTAAAGCAAGATTAATATAGTGATTCAGAAAATGCTAATTATCAATAATGCATATTTTGTTCATGTTTGATGTTGCAATTTTTACTTCGATAAAAACATTGCATTAATTTCTGATTTTGCAACATTGTTTTAATAAATTGTCAAATGTTTATAAAGTAAAACTTTGATACATATTACATAAAGCCCCTACAACCTTTTCTTATTACTAATTTTATTAACATCAGTGAAGGTCAGTGGTCATAAAACTGGCTAATTATCCTGTTAATAAAATGTACAGCACTGTCCATATATTTTCATCTTTAACACCTAGAAGTCATTAAATGTAATCAGATATCCTGCATTTATCATGCTTCACCATATGATAAGGTCACATTCCTGAAAGACCCTCCTACTAAATTATTAGAAATCTATAATTTTGCATCAACCATTAAACTTTTAAGTAACTAATTATAATCAGTATTTATTAAAATGGAAATTGGTTAGATTGTATCTTCTATTTAGAGTACAGAATAATATTAAGAAGTAACGTGGATAGTGAAATGTTGTGAAAATGGTTTTTGTAATTTGCTATCATAATAAAAACTTACAAGAAATATACAAATTATTCTAATGGTTTGTACATGGAGTTTAAATTTTAAAATTTAACTGTGAAGAATATAGGTCAGCTGTTCAACATTTAAGGGAGCTACCATTTGATTTTTATGGGGGTGGGAGGCTAGGATGAAAAATTTTGTCCTGCATTTTTTTTTTAGTTGTAATCTCTGTCCTGCCTTTTTATTTTTCACTCTATTCGGTCCTGCCTTTTTTTTTAGTTTATCCTGCCTTTTTTTTACTCAAAAATCCTGTCCTGCCTTTTTTTTTTTAAATTTCATCCTAGCCCCCCCCCTACAAATCAAATGGTAGCTCCCTAAGAACTGCATGTGATCTGATAATAAAGCTGGAGTTGAAAAATTAACGTGATTATGCTTTGATTGTATATGGGAAATAAACAATGAAAACACAACGAAATAAAAAGAAAACAGTTTGTATGTATATTTATACACGAACCAGTATTACCACAAAACACAGATCAAGTTTGAATTTTGATGGCTTCACTTTACCCATTCTAGAGTTATACCCCTTTGCATATGAAATAAATGCTGAATTTTTAGTTTCTGTTTTCTAACTTTAGCTTGCTTCAACCAAATGTTATGAAACTTATACACAATGCTTATTACCACATAATACATATCACGTTTGAATTTTGGTGGTGTCACGTTTCCTGTTCTAGAGTTATGCCCCTTTACAAAATAGAATTTTTAGTTTCCGTTCTCTAACTTTAGTTTGCCTCAACCAAATGTTATGAAACTTATACACAATACTTCTTACCACAAAACTGAGATCAAATTCACATTTTGGTAGTGTCACTTTTACCGTTCTTCAGTTATGTCCCTTTATAGCTTTATATGATATGCCATCGGGGGCACCATCTGTGTCCCATGGACACAATCCCCATTTATATTGGTTGTTAAGCAACACTGATATTTCTAGTAACAGGAACTGCTACTCATTTTTCCTAGTTTGTGTAGTCTTCGAGAAATAAATTATGGAACACCACTGGTACTCTATGGAAAATGCATAACGAATAATTGCCCTCTTGTTACCATGACAAGTATAAACAGATCAAGTTCAAATTTTGTACCGGTCTTATGATTTTGTGCAGAGTTGTGGTTCTTGGACTTAGGAAAATTACGCAAGTAATAAGTTTTTCCGCACTTTATTTGTCATGCTTAAAGATATTGATTTGATATTTAGTATATAGTGTTACAATGACAAGTTGCAGGTCAAGTTCGAATTTTATCCAGGTCTGTTGATTTTTTGCAGAGTTTTGGTCAGGGGACAAAAAATGTATGCAAATAATCAATTCTCCACACTTTTTCACGGTGCTCAAATATATCTATTTGATGTTTGGTATATAATTTGACCATGATAAGTTACAGATCAAGTTCGAATGCTGTTCTGGTACAGTGAGTTTTTAACCGGTATGGGACTATGTATTGCAGTGCAATACTATCCACACTTGATTTGGTAGTTTTACCCTTTGTCTTAAAACTATAAATAAACAAATCATCAAAGGACACTGGAAACAAGATGAAATGGAAAATAAATGCAATCTACATGCAACACTAAACAGAAAACAAAAAAATTACTGCATCAACAAATATCCCCTGTGGATAACCAGCAGACCACCAATACTTTAATAAATGAGGATTTTGATAAGTCTGTTATAAAGGTCAATCCAAATCAGAGAATTTTTGAGAACTTATACAAGAAGAAGTTATGTGAAACAAACATAAATGTGTAGATAGTAGCAAAATATTGCCAATATTTTTGCCAATAGTTTGCCTGTCAGGCGTTTATGAAGTTCATGACTGAGTTTTACATTAATCCTACTAAAGCATAAACAAAATAAACATCAAACATTACGAAATGAGTATTTGCAATTTCAGGCATGTTTATAATAAGCTTATTTTACTATAAACATAGTAAAACATCATTATTACAGGCGTACAAAAGGCTCACACAAGCTCTAAACTATAAACTTTTGTATTTGATTGACATTTGCCTGGAGGAAGCTCAATAGAATAAATATGTTCCCTATCATAGTTATCATTTTGTCAAAGAAAAAAAGAATTCTTTATGTGTAAGGTACATGAAACAATAATCTCAAGTACTGTAACTAACAATGGAACGCCGCTGTCATTGCTTTTCGTCATCTTGACAATTCGCCGTTTCACAATCTACTGCATTCTGGGTAATAGTTTAATAGACGTACATCAAACCGTTGCGATTCATTTTAAATGTCCTAAATAATGAATATTTGACAAATGATTCTACAACGGCGAGTTGTTAGAAATGTCATCAACTCTAGTAGTAGCTCCCAACTGACGGCAATTTCAAGACGGCTTCGATATATGACACAATCTTTGGTATCTATCAAAAACTACAAAAACTGCGTTTGAAGATACATTTAAATGCCAATGAGTAATCAAATATTTGTAAAGACTCCGGTGTCGTCTTTCGGTCAGTAAACTACACAAAACACACAATTTAAGGATGTACTAAGGTGAAATTAAAAAAATCTAGAATTTAAAATTGATACTATAAGTTAGAAGAGAATTAGTTAAGAAACAAAATAAGCTAAAAATATTGATAGGTTATGGAGCTACTTTTCGAGATATTTATTTTTTTTAAATGGCGGGAAAAGCCTGACTCGGACTTTTACCTTATATTTGCAATGGTATTATTTGGGTCTCAAATAGAAAGAAAAGAAATCTAGAATCTGCTTAAATTTTGGTAAATGACCTTTTATGAGCTATTGAAGTCGTATATAAAAAGTAAAATGGGTGTAATTGGGGAAATATTTTACCCTGTACTGTAGGAAAAAACCCAAGGAGTCCGAACATCTGACAAAAACTCCTAAACCTCACCTAAGTACATACTTAAAAGCGATTGCAGACACAAACAGGGATATAGATAAACATAAAGTCTAATATCAACTTCTAGTAAACGTTTCACAATATTTGTTACTGAACATGACTTTGTGTAGACTAAATGCTCCTTTGCCCGCAAGATATAACAAAATAATATTATAAATGATTTTAATAAACAAAAAATAAAATTGTTGTTTTAAAATATTGTTCGGCATTTTACTTGTAAACGTACTATTTACATGGTGAAAACTTATTAGAAAACATTTTTCAATTTCACAACATACAAATACTTAATACATTAAACATGCCATAATTCTATGATTATTTTTTTTAAGCAGTAACACTTCCACTGTGACTATATTTTGTTATTATTTATAGGCAATAATCATTGTTACATCTTTTAAAAAAAATATTGGAATTGTATTTTGTTTTCATATCTATATCCTATTGGTTCTTTTTTAAAGTTTCAATTGCTTTCAACTCATTGATCGTCCTCGGATTATGCACGAAATATTTGCCACTGGATGTTAAGCAAAAATCAATCAATAACTCCTTGAACAAATAAGTTGGATTAATAAATCCTGATGTAATTACCCACAGTGCTTATATATATACCGGTATCTCTATTTGTCAACAAACCAAATTACATTGGTATATACTTAGACATGTTAGATACACACAATATAATTAAATTATTGTATGCACAGCAAAAACACAAAAAGCAAAGAAACAGCGCTTTTATTGCGTCTGCGCAGATTGTCATTCAATATACTAATTATTTCAAACACAACGCAAACAATCTCATTTCAATTATTTATAAAGTAAAGTTTTTGTGTGGATTACTACATCAGATATATTTTATTTTCAGTATAGTTTTTGTTATGGTGTCCAGTCTAGTGAACACAAAAATCTTTCATACGACATTATTTAATATCAAATTCAAAACTTCACCGATTATATTTTATTGTAGACCATGTAGAAATCGTATTTCTCCACAGTAAAAACATGCAATCCATTTACCCACAATACTACAATTTGGTTTTTTTATGTGCTACATGTCGGTTAATTTACCGTCTTTTTGTACATGTATTATGATACTCAGTGCCTTAACCGAGAAATGACCTGGGTCATAACCCAGATTATATTGTACATGTTCGCATATCTTTGGATAAGATCTTTTCACCTGTGTGTTGGACATACAATGTGTATTTTTTAACGGTTTGTATGTATTTACTTTATAGTTAACTTGATTTCAGTTTGATATTTTGTTTAGCTGTGGTGATCCTTTCCAAAGCATCATAAAGTAATATATTTTGTTTTAGTGTAGTTTAATGTTAAAATGAATGAATTAATGCATACTGAGATTGTTACGTATATGTATGTACATGTGTGTGCGTTATCTATTTGTACAACGTTGGTATCCATTAATCCATTCAATGTGAATCACACACACACATATTTATATGTATTTATTACTATTTATACTGTCAGCTGTTGTTATAAATTTAAGCTCAACTGGCCTTGTTCGAAGGGTCCGTCGTCCGGAAAGAGGGATGTTAGCTGGATAACTTTCAGTTGCATATTTCGAGAGAGAAAACTATGCATAAACAGCTGCATGATTAACGGCCCCAATACTACAGTTGGTCAATAATAAGTTTTCCTGTGTATTCGTTTACATAATTATGTACTTATCTCTATAATTATTTTCTTTTAGAAATGGAATTATTTTCCGGGTTCACCGCTAAAGCAATTTTGATTTTTATAGCAACATATGCTTTCTCGCGACTTTGTAAGTTTGCTTACAAATATAAAGAATGGCTCAAAGTTACCTCTCAGATGTCTGTGATAGGACCACTTCACCCTTTGTGGGGATCACTTCACAAAGTAAGTATATTTATCGTTTGTATGATTGTATGATTGGCATGAGTGTATGATTGTACGATTGGCATGATGGTATGATTGTATGATTGGCATGATTGTTTAATTGTATGATTGTATGATTGTACAGTTGGCATGATTGATAGTAAAAAGTGCTACTTTAACACATGTACGCCAAAGTTACCTCCTTTTGTCACAGCACATATTCCACGATACATGGGTTGACGATGGCGACCCATATATTTCCCTGTTTTAACAGCGTCGATATACAACAAAAAATGGATCAAATCATAACTTGTAAGAAAATATTACTTTTTTTCAAAATACTTGAATAATGATCGTGTGTTATAACTTACTTTTCCTTGCAAAACTTATCTTCTCAGTGTAAAAATAAAAAGACGTGTGGTATGATTGCCAATGATACAACTACCTACCAGAGACCAAATAATGTAGATGTAAGCAAGTATTATAGAACACGGTTAGTCATACAGAAAGTTTAAAAAGCCCAGAAATGATGAAATGTAAAACATTTGAAACAAAAAAACCCACATGAATATAATAATAAACGAAAAACAAATATGACAGACAGCGACCAACGACAACTGCTGAATTACCGAAGGCTCCAGCTTTTGGATAGGTACATACATGTGACGAGGTTACACATGTTAGCATGCGCTTAACCCGCCATTAATATGGAACAGTGTTGTGATAGCACAACATAAAAACTATCTATAAAAACCAGTTAAAAAAAAATGACTTATTGGATTGACACTAAGCACAAATAAAAAAAAAACGCTAACAAAAAGACGAAAAACACAAGGAATCGATCAATTACAACTTATGAATAAATCATGATTAGCAGTGAATGTTTGATAGAAACTTCAGTAAACTATAGTGTAAAGATAAGAAGATACGCAATCACAAACCACAAGTCAAAAGAAAGACGCAATCACAAACCACAAGTCAAAAGAAAGACGCAATCACAAACCACAAGTCAAAGAAAGACGCAATCACAAACCACAAGTCAAAGAAAGACGCAATCACAAACCACAAGTCAAAGAAAGACGCAATCACAAACCACAAGTCAAAGAAAGACACACATAGTCATTATATCTTTAATATTGCATGTGATATTTTTGGGTTAGAAGCTAATTACTTCTGTACCTGCCTGAGTAGCATATTGTTATTGTGATTTTTATTTTACTACTTTTTTTTTCATTCGAACAAATAAATTTCAGTTCAAAGATATAGCAGAGTTCATGACAGTCATTAGAGAAGTTATTTCTAAAGAGAGGTCAAAGGTTGTTTGTTATTGGTTCATGTTCTTCTTCCCTGAATTTAACGTTGTTCATCCTGACTCGGCAAGAATTCTGATGAAATCATCAGAACCGAAAGCCATTGGTTTCGGTGGTGCCTACAGCATGATGAAGAGCTGGCTTGGTATGTATTTATTTTTAGATTTCAGATAATGTGATTTTCAACGGCTAGAATCCATTTTTAAGTTATGTAGAACGAGCTTAAACGCTTAAAATTTCTAATACTTGGGCAATATATTCGAGACAGTTAATTTATTCGACTACTTTAATTTGCAACTTAGATTCCAAAATTCTCACTCAAATTTAAGCTGGATTCGAACGACATCTTATATTCTTTCAGTTTTAGGTATGCGAAGCCGCCAATGTATTTCTACATCTTTTAACTCACAACCACTTATCTTGGGCATTCTTGATAAAATTTGCACTTCGGGGATATTTCAGTTCTTGCATTGACTACTAATGATTTCTTGCAAAGTGGGTAGGGAAGTTTAATCCAATAATGCACAATACTCACGGTCAATTTTGAACGTTTTACATAGATTTCCCTTCAAATCTTATTTTCAAATTTCTTAACCAAGTAAGTATCTCTATCCATGAACTTCAAATTGTAATTCAACTGAATATTAGTCATTGATGTATCGATTTGTAAATATTGAAATACAGAAGTTTTCATGTATAACTTCAATATATGAACCTTTAGTATTACTTACTCTTAGTTATTATTCCTTTCCTATTGCCAAAAAGAAGAACAACGAAACGATAAATAACAGTTTACAAAAAACTACACAGAAATCTAAAGACTGAGCTACACTGGTCCTACGAAAACCCGGGGGTGATCCCGGGTGCTCCACAAGGGTCAGCAGATCCTGTTCATTAAGAACCATCAGCCATGTTTCTCTATTTTAAATACGCTTAGGAGTCATATCAGGGGTGTTAATGCATCTCACAACAGCAGGTTGGTAAGTTTCTCTTGTCTTGCCCTAAGGAATCACTATTTCATGAACCATCGGCACAAGAAAATACTCTAACCTACACTAGACGGAACTAGAAAATTTGAAATTATATCAAGGTTTTCGGGACAAAGAATAAACAAGACTTTAAGTGATAGAAAGAACACATGCATTCAATTATAACAAGGTTTTCGGGACAAAGAATAAACAAGACTTTAAGTGATAGAAAGAACACATGCATTCAATTATAACAAGGTTTTCGGGACAAAGAATATAAACAAGACTTTAAGTGATAGAAAGAACACATGCATTCAATTATAACAAGGTTTTCGGGACAAAGAATATAAACAAGACTTTAAGTGATAGAAAGAACACATGCATTCAATTATAACAAGGTTTTCGGGACAAAGAATATAAACAAGACTTTAAGTGATAGAAAGAACACATGCATTCAATTATAGAAAGGTTTTCGGGACAAAGAATATAAACAAGACTTTAAGTGATAGAAAGAACACATGCATTCAATTATAACAAGGTTTTCGGGACAAAGAATATAAACAAGACTTTAAGTGATAGAAAGAACACATGCATTCAAATATAACAAGGTTTTCGGGACAAAGAATAAACAAGACTTTAAGTGATAGAAAGAACACATGCATTCAATTATATCAAGGTTTTCCGGACAAAGAATAAACAAGACTTTAAGTGATAGAAAGAACACATGCATTCAAATATAACAAGGTTTTCGGGACAAAGAATAAACAAGGCTTTTACCGATAGAACAAACATATGCATTCGATTGTGTATTTATGTATGTGGAGAAAAGGATAAAAATAAACTATCATTATTTTCCAGGCGACGGACTATTGATCTCATCTGGAAAGAAATGGGAGCGAAACAGGCGCTTGATAACACCAGCATTTCATTTTGGCATACTTAAACCTTATGTTAACATATATAATAGTTCTACAGACAAATTTCTGGTAATAATACTTTTTATTCATACTAGATTCAATTATATTTTGTCATTTGAGATTTATAGGATAATGATCGATTGGTTGATTGTTGACTGCTTAATCTCCATTTGGAAATAGAATAGTCAATGTATGAACGGTTTAAATTGTAACAAGTGGCAATTTTTATCAAACTTTCTTCAATCACCTGCTCCTTGACTGACACCTTCGCGGGGTGTAAAAGTATATACAATGGATAAGAGTTGGTTCGTTAAAAAGAAATTCCGTACCCCGGAGGGTAAGTGGTATTTCTTTTACAACCCAACGCTTATCCAAAAAATAAGTCATATTCGAACTAATTTCTAAGTATATATAATACTAGAACACACCCGCGACATCGCGCGTCCTTGACTGAATCAAAGTCTGTACGCCTTATTTTCAGCCTGGAATTTTAGTATTCGTATTGTCATTTCATAAAGTCATGCTGATTATAAGGTGCACAATTTTCTCTGCTTTCAAACTATTTCTGTATGAATCTGTCCTGGTTTTCTTACTACAACCGGAAACTACTTGTATATATATATATTTTTTTTATCAATGATTGAATTTAGTAGTATCAATCCCTGTATAATGACGAAGTTCAGGTGTGATTATGACCCGTGTATATAGCAAATCCAAAATTCACCGTTTGGTGTTGCGCCTGACAGAGGCGAAACGTACAGATTAAGTAACAGGTTACAGGTACTATTGGTATCGGTATCGGATTCGACCCGGAACTTGTTAATTTTTGGTAATATTAATTATGTTGAAAACAAAAGGGCCTGGAATGGTAAAATTCTTAATCAAAACCATTGTCCTATATTAGTTTTATATAAAGTTGAATTCTTTGATTCGTCGTTTTAACGTCATGCCGGCTAACAATTTGGACCTCGTTATTTTAATAGTATAGATTTATGTTCCAGAAATTTCTAGCGAGAAACCTATTTCTAGGCATATCACGATTTACTCTCATAGTGATTTACGAATATCCAATTGGAAAGATATGTAATAAAACTGATGAAATCACCCTGTATTTAAAAAAAGAAATGTACATATAGAATGTAATCATTTTATTTTAAAGTACGTGATATAGATAGTAATAATTAAAAACTAACGAAAGGGACAACAAAGAGAAAATAGGAATTCGAACCTAAAACGACAAATATCTACTGTGGATTCATTATTATTCGTTGGATACCAATTTTCGTGGGTTTCGTGGGTGCAGGTGAACCACGAATTCAAATGTTCAACGAATTACAAATGTTAATTTGGATTTGTATGCAGAGATTGGCAAAACCCCGAAATCAAATATCCACGAAAATGTAATTGTTCCTCAATCCACGAAAATTGATACCCACGAACATAAATGAATCCACAGTACTTCTAATTTTTATATTGCAACTCATTCATCTAAAAGAGGGACGAAAGATACCAGAGGGACAGTCAAACTCACAGATCGAAAACAAACTGACAACGCCATGGCCAAAACTAAAAAAAGACAAACAGACAAATAATCTAAATCTCGCGGCAACCAACTTATACTATACGACTGTCTATTATAAATATATAAAAAGGATCAAGCCCTGTGTGTACATTATTTTAAAAACAATCTTCAATCGGATGAAGGAGGAAACAGTGTTTGCTGTTTTTCATTTTTTTTTCTTTTTTCTTTTTTTTATCACAGAACGTGAACTCTCTTTTACTGATAACTTCGGAGAAATATTAATGAAAAGGTTTTTAGATGGTGCAATTGCTTTGAAGTTATCAAATAAACTTCAAAGCAAGTACAGTAAATTGACACAAATTGCTCTGGAAATCGTTGACAGTATGTCTATAGACATTCACAAGCACGAAATTTTACTATGAAATGAAAAATCAGTATGCATGTTATCAGAAGTCCATTACTAGACATGTCTAGTAATGGACTTCTGATGTTATCTATGGTTTATTGTTAATATCTTAAATGCAACAATGTTGTCAAATATTTTATTTTTGGAACTAAAAATAGATAAAACTACGTAAAACACTGCTTTTGTAGTGTGACATTAAATATTGTCTTGTGAAATTAATTGTCTTTCTCGAAAAACTGACTATTTCAATTTAAAGTAAACTACATGTAAATATTCCGTTACAAAAATCGTGTATATAACAGATTCTCTATACATTGTGAATTCCTCACAAAATTTACATGCATTTTAATATCTTTTTAAATACAAATACATATATAGATAATCGTCAACTTTATTTATTTCAGGATAATTTAAACGAGTTTGCTGAGACAAGTAGACCTGTAGACATTTTCCCCTTGGTGTCTCTAGAAACATTAGATACAATACTCCGATGTGCCTTCTCGTATCAAGGAAATATTCAAACAGAAGGGTAGATAATTAGTTATAAATAACACATATGCACTTATCATGATAAAAATAGAAACATAAGTATTTATGCTGCATTTCCATCCTTAAATTTTACCAGTTTTACCGTTTCGGCTGCTTTAAATGAAGGAGGTCTTAAGGAAAACGTCAATGGGACAAAAGCCTAGACAAGAACACGAACAGTTACTGGCATCTTTAATTAAACTTGTTTTGATCCCGGACGATTAAGAACATTAAATGTAGTATTAACGAGTGCTTGATCGTTTCAGTATGTATTTTGATGGTTGATTTTTAGTTACTTATATTATTTTTTTTTAGTTACCTATGTTATTTTTTTGTTGTAAATTTAAGTATATCTAATAATCTTCAAAAGAGCCCAAAAAAGGCATGAATACCCCTACGCATACCTTTTAACATATTTAAAGAAATGTTTTCTTCATTTTACAGGATCAAGCATCCGTACGTCGCGGCTGTTAATCGATTAGCTCATTTACTGGCAGATAGATGGCTGTAAGTTGAAGGTTTATGTTCTGTACCATTAAAAAATCGACAAAACATCATTTATATAATATGCTTTTTGAGTATTTACCATACATTCTAGTAAACATTTGAATATACAGTACTTTTTTTTATATTCCAGATTGTCTCAGTTTCTCCTTTATGGTACTTTTCTATTATTTTTATTAGAATTTGGTACTGCCTTCATCGTACAAAAATACAAACTCTTCTCATTACCACTCTTTTAAGTTTAAGAAATTACCACTTTTTTTCTTTCAACGTGGTATGAACTATACTTGATTCCCCGGAATATCCTTCTTTCTGGAACAACATTTTCATTGTGATATATATTTCCCCTTTCAATGCTTTTAATTTACATCATTATTCTATTTAATTTCTGTTTCATTCTTATGTTCATATATATATTTGCTATTGTATGCATTGTGATATATATTTTCCTTCAATTTTATATGTTAAGCGCTTAGAGTATATTATGTTTATTAGATAGGCACTATATAAAAGCTATGTAATAAATAAATAAAATAAACATGAGCCAAAACAGTGTGTGTGAAACGTCAAACTATATAAAGTGTATAATTTTTGCATATGAAATACTGAAATATGGCATGACTGCAAATGATGCAATCAAAGTATTATGACTACTGTATTATATTCCTGTTTATCTTTTTCCAGCATTGAATTACAACCAAACATATCAGGAGCATAGACTTGAACAAGCGAACTGTATTAATAATACCGATTTTTCAACAATATAGATACATTTTTATTACAAAAAAGTAATCAAAGATACAAGGTCTACTAGTTTACGCAAGACGCACTTTTCGTCTACTGAAAGAGTTTAAACTCCAAGCTAATATAACAAAATTGAAGAGAATTTAAAACCCCAAAACCCAAGAAAGTGTGCTAAATCTGGGTTAGGACATCTTTTCCTGGTGGTAGAAATACCCTAAAAATCGGTTTAAAGCAAAAATACATTTTCAATCAATACAATATCTCAAAAATATTATCTACCAGAATAACCTATATTAGTAGTTAAATTAAAGATAAAAAAGTAATTTGTTTTACAAAAGTTTATGGAAAACCAACGACTTAATGCTGTTGACATCAGCCAATACCAGATAGATAAACTTTAATTTAGAATTCATTCCGTAATTGCAATCGATCAGCAGACATTATACGAGTCTACTAAAACAGATTTCAGAAAAGACATCATCACAATATTCAGATATTGAGTTTTCTTAAATGCGAAAGTGATCCAGCGTACATTCTGACAATGAAGGGGCGAAACTCGCAAAAAATACCAATTTACAGTTAGCAAACCAGTTTAAAGTTGAAATAGTTGAAACTATTTCTTATATTTGAGTATCTCATTTTCATACAGCCAAATTTCATGAAACACTATATTTTGTATAAAATACAGGAAGCCGTGGCTTTATTGGGATACAATATATTATATGACACCTAAAGGTAGAGAATACAGAAAACTTTGCCAATATGTTCATGATTTTTCCGAGGGAGTGATAAGAGAAAGACAGCAAACCTTTGTAAGTTATAATTTTACATTTTAAATTTCAATAAATACTAAGAAACTTAAAGTTTAATACAAATGTATATTTTATTATTATATGCGGACTATTTTTTTCTTTTCACAAAGAGAAAAAAATGTAAAATAACATTGGATGAGTTTTAGTTGTATGTTATAATACCAGGAACAAAGTAAAACAAAATGTGTTTGAGATGCATTCGATATGAATAAAATATGCTTATTATTCGTTATTGACTCAGAAACCAAACAACACAATATCACAAAAAAACATCACAGTGTATTTTTTTTTCTGCATAAAACAATATTGACAAAAATACCGAACTCCAACATAAATTCAAAAAGAAGGGATGTCCATTAAACCTGACAAATCAAACGGTAGACTATATCATACAAATGAACGAATGGAAAACAACTGTATAGAATTATTCCAACAAATTCAACAAGTGTATATCTCAAGTCTTTCTTTTTGGAGTTCATTAGATTGCCTAAGTTTTTATTTTCTTACACCTTGTTTTGTCTCTTCTTAATCGATTTATGAGATTTGAACAAAGAAAACTACTGTTACATTTAATTCCTTCAACATATTATCAGGATGATGGATATTCGTCACTGAGAACGCATCCCCCCAAAAGAAAATAAAAGACAATTTTGTCAATTGATTTGGCAGAAAAATTATAAACTGGATAACAACTATCGAACAAGCGTAAATCATATGTTCATTAGATTGGATTACATTTTACCAGAAAATTTCAATCAACTAGAAGATCACTTTAAATTTTGTGCAATATTGGGCAATCTTTGCACAATTTTCTAATTTCTTTTTGACTGCAAACTGTTTGTTTTTGGTTGATAAGCTTACAGATGGTCCTCCAACTAGCCGCCATCTTGACTTTCTCGACATATTGCTCACCGCTAAAGATGACAATGGAATTGGCCTTTCATTCGAAGATATAAGAGCTGAAGTTGATACATTTCTATTTGAAGGTAAATCGATTACAAAGTTGAAAGTTCAATTTGCCTTTTGTAATTCTATATATAGTATAGCTGGTTAACAAATCATTTTATTCTCAAGATATATCATTTTGTTTACATTTATGCAAATGAAGTGTAACACAACATTATAGTAAATAAAGGCATAGTATGAATGGTTAAAAATGGCAATTGTTTTGGAAATATAGGCATATGAGTGGTAAAAGAATGCCACACAACCATATATTTTGATCATTGCAAAAAAAGTTGTACACTTTTCATTCTATTATATAATATTTTTTGAAACCTCGTTGTGAAACAGCATAGGTTTAGGCGTAAAAGGCGTTCAAAATTAAACATTCCTAAATCTTTGCAAATTGTGGATTTTACGACCAAATAATGTTTTAAAAGATTAAAAAAAAGGATAAAAAAAGATGTAAATAAATCTATCCCGACTGATTATTTTGTAAGCTTTTGAAATATATTTTTTTTAAAGTTCTGTACTGTTAAATGGACAACATTACACTTTTACAATACCATCAGAATGCGCACGCGAGAAACAGGGTTCCGCGAAACTATTTACGAGTTTTATAACTTTTTTTAATCTTTTGCAGGGCACGATACAACGGCATCGGCAATTAGCTGGGCTATATACCATTTAGGAAAACACCAAAAGGAACAAGAAATCATATATTCAGAGTTGTCAGAATTACTAAATAATAACAAGCAAGTGTCATGGTAGGTGGAAACAGATAAAAAAAACATTGAAGGTCCTGACTACTGGAGGCATAAAAGTTGTATTTTTTTTAAGCATAAAAATAATAAATGTACCAAAACATTTTATTTGGCAGTTCTGTCTGGCGCTTTATGGAATTGCCTGTTGAATACTTTCACATATACCTGCATGAAGTCTTCTATTCTGTTATTTTTAATGTTAAATTTATAAGATGACAAAAGGTCGTGATTTCCATTTCCACTTAATATTATCTGTATCATATTTGAAATTGATAGTACCAAATATCTGGATGTTTATTATGCAAAGTTTCCATCAAAGGAATATAGTTATCCAATTCAATGTAAACAAATAAGAAGATTTGATATGATTGCCAATGAGACAACTCTCAACAAGAGACCAAACGACACAGAAATTACCAACTATAGGTCGCCGTACGGCATTCAATAATGAGTAAAACCCATACCGCATAGTCAGCTATGAAAAGCCCCGAAATGATAAATAATGCCTGTATGAATAATAGTGTATCACTGTTTCATTTTGTTTTATTTTTGTTTATTAATTAGTTGTTATTTAGTTATAAAATAATGTTGGCATGTCTTTTATTTTTTAAAGTACTAAAATATCATAGATTTTGGATGTTCACTTGTGCAACATCTGCATCATTTTTTTAATCATATTTAACAGGTTGCTATTCAATTTGTGCCATCTCTGTGTTTTTCTGGTCCTCTCAATAATAAATACAGAATGTGTCACTTAATAGATTTCAGATGGTATATCGCTATGTATTGTGTTGCACATATCGAAATATTGATTATGGAATCGCTAGCTATTTTCTGTAAGTTTATTCACTGCTTTAACTTAAGTAGATTTATTTTAGTAAAAGTTAAATTATCAAACTACTAGATTCGCTTTCAAATAAAGTATTGTTAGGTTTCCGAATTTGATATAAAGGACTTCCTTTTATTACAAAAGGGCAACATTGATAACTTTTACACATTATCGTTTTCAGATAGAAACACTCATATGTGACCAAATAAACTTGGAATAACATTTGATCACCGGTTTTGAACTTGCATGAGCAACACGACGGGTGCCATATGTGGAGCAGGATGTGCTTTCCCTTCCGGAACATCTGAGATCATCCCCAGTTCTTGGTGGGGTTCGTGTTACTCAGTCTTTAAGTCTTTAAGTTTTTCTGTATGTTGTATATTTGTGCATTGGTGTTTGTCTATTTGTCTTTTTCTTTTTTAGTCACGTCGTTGTCAGTTTATTTTCGAATGTCACTTTGGTATCTTTCGCCTCTCTTTTATGAGTTCGTGTATTTCCGACATTTCTTGTTAAACCTGGTCAAAATCGTTACTACTTATTAATTTTATTTATATTAAATATTTGCAGGGTTATTGACGTATGTGCATGTAGATATATGTAGGTACTTTTTTAAGAGTTCTGTGTAACATAATCTAACATGGTATTGCATGAATGAATTTTAAGATTGGTTTAGCTAGAGGTAGATTGAATCAAAATAGTACCTCGACTTTAAAATTTCAGGGAAAATTTACAAATAATGCCAAAGCTTACAGCCTTCGTAAAAGAGTCTATGCGCATGATTGCACCTGTTCCTGGTGTTCAAAGGCAACTGACATCACCAATAACCATAGACAACGTCACAATACCAGCAGGTGTAGTCGTTGACATGGGTATATACATGTTACATCACCACCCGGATGTCTGGCCAGACGACGATGTAATTATATTGTTTTTACTACAAACATGTTCTTCATTTTGCTTATAGTCACTGTTTACCTTAGCAGTATTATATAATCTTTCGGAATTTTGGGTCAATAAATCTCATCAATTGTGTACTTTTTGTTGCCTTTTTACTTTTTTGATTCGATCGTCGCTGATGAGTTTTGTATTTTTAACTTTGATTTATATTTTTAAATCAAAAGAGCTTACATACTTGAGATTTAAACAATTGAAGAAACAATATGTAGGGAGGTGAATCCAAGTTTCCACATCAACAAACTCCATCATGAAATGTGTTTATACATGTATACATCTTTATGTCACCATGACGCCGACCAATGAAACAAAGTTGACACATAACATTGGATTTATATTATAAAAATGCTTGTTTAAAAATTAAAATAAGAAGATGTGGTATGATTGCCAATGAGACAACTGTGCTTATCATATTGACGCAACCTCAATGATAAATGTATATAACATTTAATTTAGGTTCTTTCTTTAGAATATTGTTTAAATTGTAAGCAGATTGCGGTCTCGTGTAATGTTTTCAAATTCATGTTCTAACTCTGGATGTTCATATTGATTTCTTAACTTTAACAGGTATTTAAACCAGAAAGATTTTTACAAGAAGACATTACAGAGCGACATCCATATAGTTTCTTACCATTTGCAGCCGGATCAAGGTAATATATTTGTTTAAGTTGTTATCTATATAACTTGCCTAAAGGAGGTAGCCTTATTATTTAACTGATAGTATTTCTTATCTTTTCAAAACGTTCAAACACTTAAACCACACTAGAATATCAACAAAGTTTGAATTTTGACTAAAAAAAATGAAGGATATAAATTGATTCAGTTACAAGGACAAACATTTTTCCATCAAAACTATTTTACTTAATATCTCAAATTGTCATTTACAGAAACTGCATCGGTCAACACTTTGCTATGGATGAGATCAAAGTTGTTCTTGCAAGATTAGTACAAAGGTAGGATCTGCATGTCTTTTGCATTTGATCGGGTTTGAAGTATATCAATTGGTATGTTTTGATATAAGGTCTCTAAAGAATAATTTGTTTAGTGTCAACTAAAGCAATGTTGACTAAAAAGTGGAAGTCAACCAACAGATTCACACACTCAAGATGTTATCATTTAAATAAATGGATAGGATAAATGTAATTGTTTTTATCTTGGGAGATGTCGTTTTAAATGGTGTTAAAACGTTTAAACCCGCTGCATTTGTTTGCACCTGTCCTAAGTCAGGAACCTGATGTTCAGTAGTTGCCATTTGTTGATGTGGTTCATAAGTGTTTCTCGTTTTTTATATAGATTAGACCGTTTTTTTTCCTGTTTGAATGTTTTACATTAGTCATTTTTGGGGCCCTTTATAATTTGTTGTTCGGTGGGAGCCAAGGCTCCGTGTTGAAGGCCGTACTTTGACCTATAATGGTTTACTTTTACAAATTGTGACTTGGATGGAGAGTTGTCTCATTGACACTCATATCACATCTTCTAATATCTAGTTGCAATTGACTCTGTTTTAAATTCATAAGAATTATAGAATATCTACCTGCGTGTATACAAAAAAAACCATTAAGTTCTGTTTGCCCAACTGCAAAGTGGACCATGAAACTCATATTAAGTATTTTTAATATCATTTGAAGGAGTCAAAATTGACATTTGTACACAATCGAATCATGGAACAGCCAAACGAAAATCAATCAAAGTAAAAGGGTATTGCAAAATTGATAGTTTGGAAAACATGATGGATTTCGAGCTGCTGATGGAAACAAATGACATAATGGATATCGTCAGCAATTTGTTTAGCACCAGGCCTTCTACGCTATAATCAAATCTATGTTGCAACGACCTTTCATGTAGTGGAAGCGTGCATTTCTCATTTCATTCGGCACATGATTTCGTCCCAATTTCGACCTGATAATACTGCGTTTTTATGCACCATGAACCTAACAAACGAAACCTCTTTCAGTATGGACGGCTGAAGTCCAAGTAATGATACTCCCTTTTATTCCGACTTATGTTAGGTTCTAACGGATAGCCGATAACTCTATTTTATATGTGTGCTTGTATATTGATAACGTTAAGAAATGTGGTTCGCCTGCCTAACTTAAAATTTTCTGCACAAAATATTCCCTCGAAAAGCTTAGTTGTAAAATGTGGATCAGTTGAATATAGTTATCAAAGGTACCAGGATTATATTTTAATACGCCAGATGCGCGTTTCGTCTACATAAGACTCATCAGTGACGCTCAGATCAAAATAGTTATTAAGCCAAACAAGTACAAAGTTGAAGAGCATTGAGGACCCAAAATTTCAAAAAATTGTGCCAAATACGGCTAAGGTAATCTATGCCTGGGATAAGAAAATCCTTAATTTTTCGAATATTCATACTTTTGTAAACAGGAAATTTATAAAATAACCACATAATTGATATTCATGTCAACACCGTAGTGCTGACTACTGGGCTGGTGATACCCTCGAGGACGAAACGTCCATCAGCAGTGGCATCGACCCAGTGGTGTAAATAGTTATCAAAGGTACCAGGATTATATTTTAATACGCCAGACGCGCGTTAAAAATGATCTTGTTTTTTGTAATTGACTTTTAACCAGCATTCAGTAACTGCCAGTACCCTCAGATCGGTACTTTGTGTCTTTTTACGTCAGTTATTTTTTGTGCTACGTGTCAATGCGATGAGTCAAGCCAAATTCAACTGTTTTTACAGTTTCTTTTTATATTGTGCTGTTACACCACTATGCTGGGTTGTGGAAGGGCTCACAAACATGCTTATGTTAACAGCAATAACTGTCCTTTCCTAGATTTAGATATTTCAGTATTACACCAGGAACTCCATACAAAAATTTACGACAAAAGGGATGATTTTTATTTCCCTATTGTTAATTTTCCTTTCAAGGACGGTGACATTCCTTTGGCACCGTCTTACGGTGTTTATATATCCCAACTCGTTCGTTATACTGGTGTCTGTAGTGACGTTTTGGATTTCAATGAGTGTAATCTATGTATTACTAGTAAATTATTAAGTCAGGGATTTCGTTACCACAAATTATTTAAAACCTTTACTGAATTATTCCATAGATACAAAGATTTGGTTTGCAAGTTTGGCTGTACCTGTAGAAAACTTATTTCAAACGGAAAATCAAACATCCTAAATTTTACGGTGATGTTGTTAATCGAGCCCGGAAATTTAGATACGATCCGGGTAAACTTATCAATCCTTTAGATAAACTTATTCTAAAAGGTTACCTATTCAACACTGTAATTGAATCGTTGAATATTGTTTTTATTGGTAGAAATATTGGTTTTACTATCAGTAAATCAAAACCATACTAAATATTACGCATATGTTTTTTCACGGTACTACAATCTGTCGATACCTATATTTTGTCATTGCACAAGGTCATGTTTTTTTTTTTTTACTGTTAATGACGTCTTTACACTAAATCCATTGGATGTTGGATGTGTACTGATTGATATTTTAGTCTTAGATACATGATTTTTTTTTATTAGTTGTTATTGACTTTGAACTAGCTGTCAGAAACTGCGAGTATTCTCAGATCTGTACTTAGTGTCTTTTTTGTTGTTAGGGATGAGGGACAGATATATACCCTGCCACGTCCTGTCTGTGTTTTTGTTTGATGTTTTTCTTTGTATCGATCTGATGAGTAAAGCCTTTTTCAACTGATGTTTATAGTGTGTTCTTATGTTGTGCTGTTACACCACTGTCCCAGATTAGGGGAGGGTTGAGCGCTCACAAACATGTTTAACCCCGACACATTCATTATGTGCCTGTCCCAAGTCAGGAGCCTGTTGTTCAGTGGTTGTCGTTGGTTCATGTCTGTCATATTTGTTTGTTAATTGTTTTGTTATAAATTATGCCGTTAGTTTTCTCAATTGAATTGTTTCAATATACGATATGGGTTTTCCTCATTGTTGAAGGCCGTTCGGTAACATATAGTTGCTTAAATCAACCTTATTTGGATTCTTGTGGATAGTTATATCAACGGCATCATCTTATTTCATATAAATATGTAAGCTTGCTCTTTATTTATTCATTTTCAATCAATTTGCTTTCTATTAATATTTCAGATACAAAGTATTTCTGGTTCCTGACCATAAGTATGAAATTGAACCTGAGCTAGTAATGAGGGCCAAGTACGGGATCAAAGTAACTGTAGAAGAACGAAAATGATATCTTCAAGATCTGTTCAAATGTTATATGTAACAACTTATTTAGGCAAAGTTGACGCTAGACTATTTTGTATTCTTAAATTGTTCTGTTTCTTGCTTGGAACATTGGAAATTGGTCATCGAGAGCCAAATACATTTTTTTATTGTTAATTTGATTGAGTTTTCTGCTGTTATAACATTTATCTTCCGAAATCGGACGGGAAGACTCAAGGTTGTAACCAATAAATCCGAACATGAATTAACTCTTTAATGAGATTAAAAAGAAAAGGATTTTATGTTATATGGCAAAGCTAAACTCAACTGGGCATTCTGCATCTTTAATACAAAAATTTATTTAAAGATTGTAAGTATGTTTTTGAGACTCTGTTCAAAATTATTATATATCTTTTATATTGTTCTCGAGTCTAGCATGTTGTGTGCCTGTCAGTTGTTGCACTTGTTAATATACAAGTAATTGAAAACGATATTTAGTCTGCTTTGTTTTAATTTCAATATGACGATTTTTTTTTTCTTTCTTGGTAATGTTTGAAGGATTGTGGGGATGATCATAAAAGATTTTGACTAAGAAAAAAGATACCAAAGCGGCGAATCGGGCATGAAAATGAAAAACGACGACAGTACAAACAAAAGCTCACAAAACAATACTCAGAAAACTTAAGATAATGCTACACAGTTCAGACCGAAAACTGGAGGTAAACTCATGCTCTTCGTAAGGGTAAGTAAGCAGTTTCTGCTCATCAAGTGACATCATACGTGTCGCTCATGGTGAATGACGTCATAATGTAGGAAAAGAGGACGGAGTTGTGGGTACGACAAATTGTGCATATCTAGGGTCATCTTTGATTTATTGTTGTTTGCAGTGGTAGATATAACATGCATGTTCAAGGCGAAAAGGAATAAAAGATGAATACAATAGTTTTGTCCTGGAATAGACAGGAAATTTGGAATGTAACTAAAAAATGAGGGTAAATTGAGTAAGGACAGAAATTAAGCATTGCAGCAGGCCACCTACTGACTCCTCAAAGAGTTGATGCAAGGGTTCTTATTGGCCAAAGATCGTGGCACCCTCTCTATACGAGGCATCGCATTTAACGTCCCCATTCTGACCGGACGTGTCTGCCAATTTATTATGTACAGCCAAAAAAACCGACCCATTTCGGCAAGGGGATAACTGCCGTCGGAAGAATACAAAGGGATTCCCCAATCAACCCCTGGGGTTGTGGTCATCTTGACACAACTATATGATAACGGTCAACAAAATCATAATGGCGTCTGTAAAACGTTCGAAGAGATGGAATTTAAATTGAGTGTGGACTCGCATGGCGGGTGATGCATCCAAAGCAGGAGACGCTTACCCTGTCGGCGCACCCGGTCTGGCTCTTTGTGGAGGATATGCGATTCCCCGCTGTATTTTACTGTTACGTCTTCTCACTCGATTCATTAGAATTTGACATCGTTAAACACGGTTGTCTTAATTAAGATTTGCCGTTACGAACTCTCGGTGGGACTAATTTTATAATCATTTTTAGGGACAACCAACTGGAATATATCACTACTCCAAGCTTTAAGGTATATGATATGATATGATCGAGAAAATCAAGATGAAATACATGTCAAGGTTGCTGACTGAATCATGAGTATCTACAGCTAATTATAATCACATGTCATTTGTTCACGGATGCGATTAAAACCACAGACGTAAATGCATCAGACATTTTTCAAATATATTAATATCTTATAAAATAGCATAATCATGATTGCTATAATAAGAATATTTTATATGTAAAAAATATATGCTATGGTATGTATTTCTGTTATTCAAAATACGTGAAAAGGGTGGGGTATTGAAAGTCTCGTCTGCTCATCCCTATCACGAAAGGATTGAAGAGCCCCCTCCTATAGTCAATTCATTGGTAAATAGCTCTTTATTTACTAGAAAATGCAATCAAATTGGTTTTAAGTTCGGAAGGATTATCTATCTTGGTCGCTGAAATGTTCTTGAGTCTAACTCCCGAAAGAGACATCCAGATTTTCGACATTAGACATACTTTTTATCACAAGGTTTTTGGTGGGGTTCATAGTGTTCAATCTTTCGTTTGTATTCTATTAAGATTTTTGTCATTTTTTCTTATTTATTTTGGTAATTCATTGGTGGTGTTCTCATGTCTTTGTTTTATCTATGATTTGATTGCCTTTACTATTTTGATTATTAAATAAATGAAGTATGAAGCAATCATACTTGCACATTGATATAAGAAATATTTCTTTTAAAAGAGGATATTTTTTTACGAAATATATTATAACCGAAGTATAGTATATGTATGGTTCGTGATTTTGTGTTAAAAAGCAGTACTACAATAAAAACGAGATCATATGAAATATATATGTATGTTATTCATTGATGAAAATGAGTCCTTGAATAATAGAGGGTCTGGTTGGGGTTTACAGGATAGAGAATAATGGCGAAAATGTGCAGAATAAAGGGCAAAATATATAATGAATAGAGAAAAATAGGCCAAAAAAAAAAAGAATAGGGAATAATGGGTGCTAAAATTAAAAAAAAAAGAGAATAATGGACAAAATTAATAAGGAATAGAGAAAAAATGGGCTTAAAAAATTAAAGAATACATAATTGAATGACCCCCCCCCCCCCCCCCCCCCCCATCCAGACCCTCAGAATAGACCACAGTAATATAGCTGCAAGGTAAATTGTAATTCGATGTCAATGAACGGTAAAACTTTAATATTCCTGTTCATACATGTATTACATTTACTTATAATTAGTTTTTTTTTTATCAAATAAAAGATTTGTGTATTTCAATTTTACAATTTGCAATTAAAGCCAACATCCAGCTGCGTTTAAAACTTTGAAAACGATATGCAATAAATAATGTGTCTCTAAAAAATTGTCAACATAATAATTTGGCGACAACAACTGAAGGTAACGAATGGGAAATCTGATTTAGTGGATTGAAGACGGACAGTGAAGATCGCGGTCAAATGACCCAAAGAAAACAACTACGAAAATTAAGACTCACTCGAATAATACTGAAGGATTGATAATTTTTACCTCAGACGTAACTCCTACTGGTTAGGTACTTAGGAAACAACCTAGCGGGTACATTTTTGTACTATACATGTGGAACATAACAACTTTCTAACCCAGAGACGTCATCTAATAACTTATTAGCAAGAGAAAACAATTAGGTAATTTGAAATAAAAACTGTCTTATTTATTCACTTTTTTGTTACCAGTTATATCTATGCTACAAAATGTATCCATGAAATAACAGTTTATAATAACAAGAATGCACACACTGAAATGTCTCGCCTGCTTTACTACTATTGAATTTATGTTGATAGCCCTAAATATAAAGTTTTACTACAAGTATCACATTAACTTAACATGATCCAAGAAAATGAGGTCAAGGTCAAATAAGCCAAGCCAAAAATACATGTTCACCTTACAATCATTCCATACATTGAATATTGTTGACCTAAAGCTTATAATATACAAGAAACAGACCAAACCATGAAAACTTTATATTGACCAATGAACCATGAATATGGGGTCAAGGTCAGATGAACCCTGCCAGACAGATATGTACATTTTACAATCATTCCATCATGCATCAAATATAGTTGACCTATTAAATATAGTGTCTAAGTAACAAACTTAACCAGGAAGATTTAATATTGACCAAGGAACCGTGAAAATGGGGCCAAGGTCAGATGATACCTGCCAGACATTTAAACCTTATAATCATTCCATACATTAAAGAAAGTTGACCTATTACTTATCATAGTTTAAGAAAAACAGACCAAAACAAACAAAAACTTAATATTGAGCAATTAACCGTGAAAATGAGGTCAAGGACAAATAAAACCTGCCAGACTCCTATGTATACCGTAAAATATTTCCATACACCAAATATAGCTGACCTATTGCATACAGTATTTATAGAAAAACAGACCAAAACATAAAAACGTAACTTTAAACACTGAACCATGAAAATGAGGTCAAGGTGAGGTGACGTCACAAGAGAAAATTCAGACGACAAAAAGCAAGCAAATTTGAGGTCGTAATGGATTTCGACCAATGCCGAACTGAGATTTAACGAACCACATGTTGATTATGAATAAATGATCAACCGATCGTGAATAGTATAAATCGGATAAGAATTAGAGAAAAGATTCACGCATTTTGAAAACGACAGTGCTGTTGACATTTGTCGGTATTGGGTAGTATTTGGTATTGCAAAGCTCATATCAATTTTACACTGCTATAGAAATTGTATATAACAATATCAATTTGAATAGTATCTAAATATCTTAGCTTTTTAACTTTGATCTTTCAGTTATAAAATAAGTATAAGTCTAGACAACATTACATTTGTTGTATCACATGACATATAAACGCATTTAACTTGGCGGTCATTTACCAAGGACTTGAATTTCTTTTTCACAATGATTAATTAGGAATAATATGACAAGTTTCTAAAATTTAAACCCACTCGTTTGGTGAAATGATGTAATGTAAATATCCTATGTAAAATAGAATTAATAAGCGTGAAACGCAAAATACTTATGCTTAACTTTATGATCAGGTATTAGTATTTTGGACATTATCAATATGGACGGACTCTTAATCTTCTTTCTTCTAGGTGAGATAATTTTTTATTTATACGATAGATAATAATGATACAGATGAAATATTTCAATAGACTTTCTAAAATGAAGTTTATATTCTATAAGTAAGAATAAAAGATCTAAAGAGTCAATTAAAATTGTTTTCCAAACAAGTTACGTTTTCCTCACTAGATAATTTTACGACTGATTTGAAAAAGACATTTCTTGGTCAATTATTGCATATTAGGTAAAAACTTGAAGGTTTTATTGTTGGAAAGAAAACAAACATATAGGTTTAAAAAAAAGAGCCTTCCATAAAACCACTTTTGTAGAGGAATCTACATGCTAAACAAATGTGTGTCACTCTTATTACAAACTGACGGAGAATGTTTCAGAAAGGGCAGTTGTAAAAGGTACTTTTTTTAGAATGAACCACGCCATGATAAGAAAATGACTGCTAGAAATGAAATCGCCTCTCTGTGCTAACCTTCAACAGGAACGCTCAGAACCAATATTAGGGGGGGACACAAGTTTAATGTAGTAAAACTGTAATTAATAGTTGTTTTCTTTTTTTTTGTAGTCGGTATTAAATCAGTAAAAGGTTGCTCAAGGGATATATTTTTGAAAGAAAATAATTTAATCTTATCTAGTCCTGGATTTGAAGAAGGGAAGAACTATGATATAAATTTGCATTGTAAATGGAATATCCAATCAAATTCGGTGGTAAGTTTTGAAAACTTTATTTTTTTCTTTATTTTATGACCGTGTACCGTAGAATTTTATATAAGTATCACAAGTTTCTGAAAGGAAAGAGGGCGCATAAAGGTGGACGGGCAAAACCATTAGTCGTCGAAGGGGAGACAATACCATGGCTTAACATGAAATAACACACACAAAATAAACGATATATTAGAAACGCTAAACATAAAACCTTATTATTGAGCAACACGAAGTCCACAAAACAGATTCTCCAAAGGGGTTTGATATTCGTGCTTCACTAGTAACGAAACTAACACGGACAAAAATTACACAACATGTCTATTTTAGCAGATTATATGTTACCGTCTAGATTTCTTAACTGAATGTTTTGGGTTAGTGTATCATCGATATTGAAACAAATCAGCAGGTTTAGTGGTTTTTTTTTACTTCTTTTTTATATGATAAGTACACAAATTTTCAGAAAAGAATTGACAAATTATCTCTCTTGATATTTAGTAAACATTTGACAGTCTTAACAACAGTACTATGAAAGTGTTTAAGTCCTCACGTTTTTATAACACTATACAATGACTGGATGGTTCTCTTTATAATGTTATTTACTGAACGAATTAATATTTTAATAATTTGCTCTGGTTATTCAAAATTATCATTCATAAAATATTTTTATATCAAGTGGTATTTCAAATTATGCAAACAATTTCTTTGATTTACGATCTTTGGAATATGAATGTTCATTATAATTGCCCCTACTAACCTTTCATCACATAGTACATACAGGTGTCAACATTAATATATATATAATACACATAAATAATTTTATTCAACTCAATCAATAAAACTTGATTTTGAATGAAGTAATAAAATGCATAGAACATGAGGAATGTGACCTTTCCTGCTAAATACATTTTTTTAATTGTCAGTTAGAAAACGGAAGAGATACTTCTGTATGAGATTTCAGAAGTGGTACATAAGTGGCAATTGCGTGGTCAGTTTGTGGCACTATAAGCAGCGGCAACGTATTAGCTTGATTATGAAATAAGAAGATGTGGTATGATTGCCAATGAGACAACTCTCCAAAAGAGACCAAATGACATAGAAGTTAACATCTATAGGTGGCACGGTAGTATTTCCTGGCCCATAGGGATAATGATAGCCTTATTAAAATTTTCACCACTTTCTAACACTGCCCAAAAACCTACATACACAGTTAACTGAAGTACTTTCATTATAATATTCAGAAATAAATTTGAATATGCATGATGACCGTTTACTTTTTCTGCTATCTTTATAAACCTAAGGCCACTAGTGCTTTTATGTCTTTTATCATCAAAAGAATACAAGTTAAAAAAAATCTCAAAAATTCATTTTCACCTGTATGTAAAATTACTTCATATTTTTCTACACCTGATTCATCCCTCAGCTTAGGAAAGTATGTTCAGTAGATAATGTAATTTTTGTTCATTCACAGTGTTCAGATACATTGACTTATTAAATAAGTAGGGTACAAAAAGAGCAACCTAAATTTCGGAATGTAAATACTACCGTGCCACCTATATGTCACCGTACGGCCTCAACACTTTAGCAAAACCCATACCGTATTTAGTTATGTTCTACATTTTCTTCATTCATCGATCAGCATGCAATATGATACAAAACAATAGTTTGTAATGACCACTGTTGTTGCTCAAACAGCGCACCTGACGAAAGTAATTTAAAAAACTCTTTTGTGCGCTAGATAATTATATAATTTTTTACCTCGTGATAATTATATTCATTAACGTATGTCCAGCTCGGTCACTCCACAATTTATATACATATTTATGAAAGAAGAAAAAATCTAACCACTTTGAGAGAAAATATTATTTAAATACTAGTAGTACTTCGTTTGCTGTATCGTTGACGTATACCGACATCTCCTTCCTTCTGTTAGTATTGTACTATTCGAATCATCTACATGTACATGTATTTAATAATGTTTGGTGGGAGCAAGGATTAAATGCAACCCAGTGTATATTTTAAGGCAAATTATATGTTATAACTACAATAGATTTATATAATCACTCAAAGATGTATCAACTGGCCATGTAATGTTTGATCAGTGTGCAAAACATAGTTACGCCTTAAAATTTCACTAAGGGATTGTTGTGTCCACGTGCATATGACATTATGGTATTTGACTTATGAAGAGTCTGCCAGTTTATTGTTCGTAACTTATCTATCAAACAGTGATATATAATTTTTATGGGCCTCTAAATCCAAATTTCATGCAAAATAACAATGTTGACAAACAAAGCAAGTGTATATACACATGTATATATGAACAAGTCTAAATTGAAAACAACGTTCAAACCTATGATTGCGTTGGATAAAAACCGCAATTTTTATACGTGTGCATGCAAAACAAATTTCTTGTTAGAGGGGTCTAAATATAGCACAAACAACATTTTCCAAAGGACCAAAAAAGTGAAAAAGTATATTTTAACAAAACGCATTTGACTAACAGGTCGAACAACAAATGTTCTTAAACATGTATATATGTATATATAAAATATCTATTCCCGCAAAAGAATGCATGCATGGTCAAAATATATGCCTTTTGATCAAAAGGCCGTTGCTGTCTTTTGCAATTTTTCGGTTTTAAATATATATCGCCTTATTGTTCGCTGGCTTATTGTTCGCTAGCTTCAGCCTGGTAGATGTATATACTCTTTTCCAATATCTCAGGAATCAAAAAATCAATACGTGTCTTGTTTGTTCCCAGGGAAATTCTCAAGCTAAGGTTGGACAAATAAATAAAAAATATCATCCGGAAACTAAATGTTTGCTCTTATTTCGGTGTATAGAAAGCTACTGTGACCTTGACCTAGTTGTTTCAAATCAATATCAAATCCAAGTTGGTAAAAGCTGGACACATTAGGTTATAACGAAAGATAACACCAGGTAACCAACATTTACACAAATTTTTACTTTCTCTCAACAGCTGTTGTATCCTGGACAACTGACTTATTGACCCCAAGATAAATAATTTCTCGTTCTATTGGTGCATTATCACAGAAAGTTCGGGAAATATATTGGTTATGGCCCAGAATAATGTTTATCGGAAACCGAAATTTTGACGTCGGGACGTCAAGATCATCGAATAGCCAGACGCCATAAAGGCAGTCGCCATACAATCACAATAAACCAAGTTGACAACACGGCTAAAATATTTAGTTTTAAAATATCATTTTCATTAATTGTCGGATTTTCAATAATGTCAGAATATATTCTAAATAGAATTACTTCTGTTGTCAGTCATTTGGATTGCGCGTGGGTGATCTACGAGCTTACAATTGCGTTTTTCAAACAAAAGGAAATACAAAGGATGAAACCCCTACCATTTGTTTGAAAATAAATTGTCTACCGGCGAAGATTGTCCTTAAAACATACAAAGTATGTTATTGAATTGAATAACAGTTTTACTAATGTGAACCTGTTTTCAAGCAACAATGGCATAACTCAAGCACGTAACTTCATAGTAAATTGTCGGACCATGTGATGTTTTACACCAATTTATAGATTTTAATAAACAAAAATATGCAAAAATGCAAATACAGAATGATTGCTGAAAAGAAGAAATCTGCAAATGTATTATTGAAAGATGATATGTCATTGAAATACAAATTTGAAGTTCTCTGACATGATGTAAACAAAATTATAATGATAGAGGGTCTGGATGCATTCTTTTCTCTATTCTTTATACTTTTTGTCCATTATTCTCTATTCTTTATATATTGGCACCTCATTATTTTCTATTCTTTATTTTTTTTGTCCATTTTCTCTATTCTTTATAATTTTGTCATTTATTCTCTATTTTGTAAACCCCCATCCACACCCTCATGATAGGTATTACTTTATTTCATGGTGTCTTTATACTTAATATGTTTAAATCTACTACCTCCTATCATTTGAATAATATCATTAAATATTATAGAGGATTTAAAATTTCATTTAATCTCTTTTTAAGTAATAATGCTTGTTAGACGAGGTGAACTCCGTGCCGATTAAGCGCTAAATTTCACACATTATATTAAGATCCGATTTTTTTCTATAAAGAATACAGCTATTCTTATCCTCTTTTAAGCAACGAAAAGAGATGCTTTAACCAGATCGAACCAGTATAATTCATTATTTACAAACATTTATAAAATATTTTATAGTTGATGTTTTTTATTGGACAGTTTACAGAACTAAATTTAACACGTTTTATTTCTTCAGAAATTAATTATATATATTTCAATGTGTTTCGAAAGATTTCGGATTTTGTTATTCTTTATAATGTTAATTGCGATCTGTTATATAATAGGTTAACAAATCATGATACTGAAATGAGAACAACAAGGAAACCTATTAATAAAAAATGACATCAAAGTGTATAGCATTATGTTTGATGAAGATCATTTCTTTCAGGTGAATAAATGATACTAAACCCCTAACGGGAGGATTGTGCTTGATTTTCATATGATGAAGACATAATCTTTTAATCAGTTTAATTGAGGTCTGGAGCTGGCATGTCAGTAACTGCTAGTAGTCTTTTGTTAATTTATGTTGATCATTGTCATTTTGCTTAGTTTTTTTGTTACCTGTTCTAACATCGGACTCGGACTTCTTTCGAACTGAGTTTTACTGTGCGTATTGCTGTGTGTTAGTTTATTTCACATTGGCTATATGTATAGGGGACGGTTGAGATCTCACAAAACATGTTCAACCCCGCCGCATTTTTGCGCCTGTCCCAAGTCAGGAACCTCTGGCCTTTGTTAGTCTTGTATGTTTTATTTTTTTTTTTTTTTTTTTAATTTTGGCTCATTTATATGTTTCAAAGTTTAGTGTGACGTCATTTTCGCTGAAATAGTATACATTATTGTTAAGGGGCCAGCTAAAACCAGCCTCCGGGTGCGGGATTTTTCTTACTGCGTTGAAGACCCATTGTGGCCTTGGGCTGTTTTCTGCTACTTAGTCGGGTTGTTTTCTCGTTGACACCTTCCCCGTTTCAATTATCAATTTTATCATATTTCAAAACATTGATTTAATATTCATATATTAATATTGGTAGAGTACATTTCGTCGGTGATCTCTTTTCGAACAATGTTTCATGCGTATTGATAAACTGCATGCTGTAATCTGTAAGATGAAAGCAAGAGACGAAGCACATTTTCACGGTAAGCGGGAATACTTGCTGAATTGACAGGTCGCTTTCTTTCCTAACTTTAAAACTATAGCTTTGCTTCCGATAAATTTTTAAAAAGTACTTTCATATTTTGAATATATGCTAAATAACTGTCAAAATCTATAAAAATATTGCAGTTTTGCGCTTTCTTTAAACATTTATAAATTGATTATATGATAGATGGTTTTATAACCTATAGTACCAACATAAAGCGTTACTCTAAATTTTAGTATTGAAATATTGGGGTTTTTTTTAAATGGCCATGTGTGTTTAGTGGAATATAACTTTTTCTTTAACAACAATTAGTAAACAATGTAAGGTAATTCCACATGGAAAACTGCATTCAAACTTAAAATAAGAGAACTATATAACATTAATTCACGATTTTTTTTTGTAATCACTTTAAATCACGTTACCCTTCCAGAGCATTTGAGATCACCCGCAGTTTTTGGTGGGGTTCGTGTTGCTCAGTCTTTAGTTTTTTATGTTGTGTTTTGTGTACTGTTGTTCTTTGTTTGTCTTTTTCTTTTTTAGCCATGGCGTTGTCAGTTTATTTTCGACTTATGTGTTTGAATGTCCTTTTTGTATACTTTGCCTCTCTTAAACGTTTTATTCGTCTCTTCTTTTGAAAGAAAAAATAGGAAACAGATGAACACAAACGAATAAGTAGAAATGAAAACAAAATACTTTCCATTGTTTTGACAATGCAAACAAATTTTATGTACACGTAATAATGATTTTTCCAAACTGAAGGCAAACATTTAGAAGAACCTAAAATGACCAGAACGTGGACGTTTTTACGATGCTGATTGTTTTAAATGTTCAACGTTCTTTTTAAATCAAATAACACATGCAACAGCTCTTGAAGAGATCTACAGCATGTTGAGGGCTAAACTTCTGCGAACAAGCGAAAGCATAACACAATGTTGTCTCAGATTTGATGTCAAATCCTTAATCGTCATCAACCTTGAAGAGTTTAAGCAATAATTTCTTCTGTAAATTGCTCTACGTTTAATCCGAATGGAATATAACCACAGACGTTAAGTAAACAACATGCAATTTTCGATTGAAATGAAATAATTTGTTATTAAAAGCTTATTATGTGAAAACATTTTTAACCCCTCCACATTCTGTATGTACTTGTCCCAATTTAATCAGGTCGGGATCCTGTAATGTAGTGGTTTTCGTTGGTAGCTGTCTTGTTTTATATTTTTTTCGTGTATGTTTTTGTCATAAACCAGATCGTTGTTTTTTTGTTTGTTTTTTTTTCGTTTGAATTGCTTAAACATGTTATATCCACTTCTTTTTACCCTGTTGGATAGTTTTCTCATTGGCATTTATACCACATCTCCTTATTTCATATGATTAATGTCACAAAATGTACTGTAGCAAATATTTCAGCTGTGTATGTACTTGCCTCTGTAATGGAAACAATATTTAAGGAATTTGATTGGATTGAATGATTGATTAATTGGTTAATTGATTGGTTAGCATCCAATGGCGATTAATGCGTGATATTGAAGACAATGGGAATTTGTAATATAATGTATATGACAAAAGATAGCACAACACTAAGAATGTGGTCATGGTTTGAATTCTGTAAAGCATTTTTTAACTGATTCAAATATCATTGATGTGGTTGTTTATTTTGCATACGATTGTTAATACAAACTTCATACGGCAATTTAATGAATAAGAATCAAATTCTAAGATTTTGTTACTTTTAATTCTCTCTGAATAGCTGGTTGTAAAATTAAAGGACACAAGGTATGATATGACCTCTGTTTGGCCCATTGAATTCGAAAATAAATATATAAATACATTGCAGTTTAGTTTTTTTTTCCTTTCTTGTGTTCTATCCCTTGCAACATACGGGTATCTGAAACAAACAGATAAAGGACAGGGAACTAGTCTATCTTTTGTGCCTGTCACGTGATAGAAGACTTGTATGTGATTCTCTAATGTCATCTTCATGTATTTTTTCTTTGATAGACTCTGTTTAATTTATTCACATATTATATATACTCGGGACAAATTAGAGATTAAGTTATTGTAAAAACACATGAATATTGTTTAAGAATATATATTGACATATGTATGTTTTTTGATATTTGTGTCGTTGGATTGTGTCAAATTGACGTATTACAACTCACATCGCCTTTTATTCGTCTTCCTCGTTTCACTTAACATTAGAATTTCGGAAATCAATTATAAAAACTTGCATTTAATCTTACATATTTTCCCTTTTGACTTTTAAGGAAAAGGTGCAAATTAAGCTTTCAAAAGTGCCTCATTTTGAGGTCTTCAAATTAATATTTAGAAAGAAGCAACAGCCTTATCCAAAAAATAATATTTCTTTGAGATGTTATTTACCACAATTTTTGTGCAAGTCAAATATCTTACTGCTTTAGGATGTTTCTAATAAATAACCAAAAGGCAGTTTTCTTTAAAAGAATATGTCAATCTTCACATTTTAATGATATCAGAGTTACATTTTCATCGGAAATGACATTGTTCTAATACAGTGTATTCCTTTTTTTTTAATCAGTTAATGTATACAATTGTTTTGAAAGAATAAAAGAATTTTAATATTTTGTTTGAATTCAAGGGTAAATAGATTTCTTATACCTTTTAACTTTTTTTATTCGAGCCCCGCTGATGAGTCTAGTGTAAACGAAACGCGCTTTTGGTGTAAAAAATCATAAGCCTGGTATCTTTGAAAAGATTCTTTGATATATATATATATATATATTTATTACATCGGTGATCCGTTTATTTTGCAATCGCCAATGGCAGTCAGCAGGGTTTAAGAACATTTGTTGTTCGACCTGTTAGTCAAATGCGTTTTGTTAAAATATACTTTTTCACTATTTTGGTCTTTTGGAAAATGTTGTTTGTGCTGTATTTAGACCCCTCTACCTAGAAATTTGTTTTACATGCACACGTATAAAAATTGCGGTTTTTATCCAACGCAATCATAGGTTTGAACGTTGTTTTCAATTTAGACTAAGTCTTGTTTATATATGCATTGTATATATACATACATCCTCCTTTAAATTTTACATTTTTTCTAGATCACTGTAAATTTTACGATTTTCAATTTGGAGTATCAATATAAATGCAACTGGGATTACGTGATGGTGTATGATGGGATTTGTAGGGAAGTGACATCAACAAAATTTTGTGGAACAAAAGCGCCACCTACCTTTAAAGGGGAGATCAGCATATGCATAGAATTTAAATCAGATCATATGGTAACAAAGCAAGGCTTCCAAGTTTTGATAAAGAAACTCCAAGGTGAGAAGAGTCATGTTCCTAACTTAAATCCTCTTTCATCAAAATGTTGTTGATATTTTAATATCTTTGCGTTTGAGAATTTACAAATTAGAAATGTATTTGCACATTAAAGATAAACATTTTCAAAAGCACATTGAATTATTTAACATACTCTAGAAACTCTAATTTTTACCACTGAAGCAATTTAGAATTTTTTAGAATATTTTCAAATCTATTTAATTCAGATACCAATCAACAACAATCAACTGACTATAACCGATTGGAGTCATCTTCTATAGAACAGTTTATTACTGAAAATAACCTAAATTCAATGTCTTTGTCTACTGATGGAGAACTTCACATTGGTTGGAGAAAGGATTACCATTCCTCTGCTGAAATGTCGCCTTCGTTAGAAATGGATAATACTCAAGGATCTACAGCTGTTGAACAATATCAATATTATACAAAAATTCTATCTTTAGATGAGATTGACAATTATTCCCCATCGGGGATGTTGATATCTGCACCAGAGTCTCAAAACGTTTTTCATGCTTCTTTTCTTAAAAGTGAAATGAATGAAATAAAAGTGAGCAATAATTTACATTACCAACATTCACAAATAAAACCGACACAGTCACAAGGTATTGTAGCCACAGAATCATCTAATATTCTGCAGATTCATGTAACAAGCATTGTGCCGACTCAGCAATCAAATATTTTTGCTACACTCCATTCAAGCTTTCTGCCAACACAGTTATTAAGAATTATACCGACACAGTCATACATTCTGTCAACTCCGTCATCAAATATGCAATTGACATTGACGCAGTCTTTGATTAGTTTGGCAACTCGACCCTCAAGTATTATGCCATCACAGTCAATGAATATTCCGTCGTCACAATCATCAAGTATTCTGTCGTCAAAGTCATCAAGTATTCTTTCGCCACAATCATCAAGTGTTCTGTCGACAATTGGTGTGATGGATTCTGCCTTTTCTAGCCACAGTTTTATCTATACTTCAACAAAATGGGAGACTTCGCTACCTAACATGTCGTTATCTGGTAGTTTATTGACTGATATCTATTATGGGTATTCAGATGCATCACAAACGCCTGGAACAATACAAGATGTAGATACATTAAATGATGATAAAAAGATTAAACAAATTCCTAATCAGAAGAAACCGTTATTAACTACTGTGAATACATTGAGCCCTGATACGTCTTTTACTTTAGATTATTTTATATCAAAGATGTATATTCCAACACAAGTAAGATCCACTTCTTCTTACAGACTGGCGTCAAGTATCGAAGAAATAAGTGATATATATGAAACGGATTTTGATTCATCCGATAAATTTTATGAAACAGAAACACCACATATTTATAGTTTTTCTAAATCGTTAGCGACAAATATATTTAAAGGGATATCAGAAACGTCAACTTATGGATCTATATCAGACATTTATATTACTTCTTCGAGCTCGTCTCTTCCAAAATCATCGATTGCATATGATGCACGAAGTACAGAAGTACCATCGACATACATGTATGACTTACCGGTTGCTTGTTTCATGACAGAACAAGTATTAATAAACGGTACCGGTAGCTTGGTTGTAGATATGAAACCGTCAACAGGACAACTTGAGTGTTCGTGGTTGTTGCTTGGACATTTTGATGAGGTTTGTTACAACTGATTATCATAAGAAAGCTTAAAAAGAATTTAAGTACAAAGCACTGATAATATTAATAACTGAAGTTTGAAACTAAGTACATTAGTCTGACGTGACAATTGCTCGCTAATGCATGCCAGAAAGAGTGTTTATAACAGATATGAAAAATATGGTTTATTGCTGACTGAAAAGAGGTTTTTTTAACTCTTTTCATTCTTCAATTGTTAAGCAATATACTAGTACTAAAATATGAGTTCAAAATTAATATTAAAATTACCTGCATAATGTTTTTTTTTTTACCTGCAAGGCTTAATCAATTTATTAGTCTTATCTACTTTCGAGTGTTAGAATGAAAACATTAAGAATGAAGCTGTAAAAAAATAAGTCATATAGTAATATAAGTTGTATAGTACAATGAAAATTCTCTTAAGGTATTTTTTTGTTTTTTTATGTTTTTTGTTTTTTTGTTTTACTGTTTTATTTAATTATCATTTTTCAGACAATTGAAGTCAACATAACAAACTTCAATATTTATACCGGTGTTGACTGTGACACTGAGGGTCTTGTTATCAATGACGGATTGTCAGCCAAGGACGGTGTACTATTCAAATTGTGCAAACATACTTCTCATATAAACCTGTTGTCGTCGGGACCGGCTTTATTTGTAGAGGTCATGACAAGAGGACATATTAATTTAACATTAGAATACGACCCAAAACCGAAAGGTAAAAGTATTTATTTAACATAGAAATAAGACCTCAAACCGAAAGGTAAAGGCAAAACGCTGTGATGTGTCTCAACTACAGACAGCAAAAGTTTAGGATATAAATAGTATTACCATTTAAAACTTAAAATACAGACAACAAAAACAAATTTATTATACAATATCTTCAAAAGTAATACATAAATAAACACTTAACACTGTTACAAAGACATCATCAACAACAACGTATATTCATACACCGGAGAACAAAAATTGCATGTGAAATAACAATGTAGGGACCAAGTGTATTGTCATCATTGAAGACTATACTTGGCTGATTTTTAACAAACATTTGTAAATTTTCCGTTGGTAATGTTTGAAAATTATAAAAAAAAACAACGTCCCAATCCATGAGGCAAAGTTGACCTTACATGTAGCTGAATTTGGCTATTATATTAGGTTCCCTTTTGGTCTTGTTAATGCTCATTGATTCATGACCTACCTGGCAAATAAACAAATAGATAGGTCAGGCTGTTAGTTAGTTTTCTCTTTTGAATTATTTCGCTTGTTGTCTTCCTGTGTCTTTATAGCTTACTTTACGGTATGGGTTTTGCTCATTATCGAAGGGCGGGCAGTGATCTGTAGTTTCCTCTTTGTCTTTTTGTCTTTGGTTGATAGTTGTCTCATTTACGAATTTTGGGTCTTCATTGCTATTCATCTTCGTACTGTACTTTATTTTGCCTTTTGAACTCTTTTGATTCGAGCGTCACTGATGAGTCTTTTGTAGACGAAACGCGCATCTGGCGTACAAAATTTAAGCCTGGTATCTATGGTGAGTTTATTGGCAGTCATACCACATTTCCACTTTTAAGCATGAAATAGTTTACCTGTAAGGCATTTTTTAAATTAGCTTAAATTTAATGTACTGTTGTAATTTAAGGTTTGGATTGTCCTGCCAGGCTATCAAAGTGTGGTGATAGGAACTGTCTTCCATCAGAATGGTGGTGTGATAATGAGGTTGATTGTTACCATGGAGAAGACGAACAGTCATGTGGTATGTTATTGGTCAGGTCTTGTGAAGAAATCATAAAATTGCCCCATAGAAGTAATTTTAAATAATTCAATACCCAACTACGTCTGTATAGAACATACCAATAAATGCATGATCACGGACATTAGAGTTCTATCAATATTAATAAAATAGGGCCAATGGGTGTCACTATTTTCTTCCCATTGGACCTACATGTTTTGTGTATTTTATTAATAATGATAGAACGTCTAGTGCCTGTGGCTGTGGCATGATACCGATTTCAGTAACGACACGTGTTTATTTCAGTGACCTTTATTAGGTAATGTCAGTACCATTAGTTTGGGAAACAAAATACATTAAATCTTGTGATCCATCGAAAAAATATATTCAACGACTGTGAATGTATGGTAACCTTTAGAATACCATTCAAATTATTGTTTTAATACATTTGCACCTAATTCAAATTTGTCCTTGTGGCCAGTTTCCATAGGGCTGCGAGAAGACGAAATAATAATTATTACGGTTGACATACTTGGAAGGCCTATTACGAACGATTCCGATAATACAAATAGGCGTGTTATACACCATATTGTGGATAATTCAATGTAGATTTACGGGATAACAAGTTTCAGTGGGATAGACAACCGCAAAATCGAAATATATCGGAAGTTCGCGACCGGGTGAAATTTCTCAAATATACGAGTTAGATACCTTAATTGCGTTATATTTATGTATATAGGTAAACAAAATTCAGAGACAAGTGCCAATGGTTTTGCAGGGTAATATCAAACGAGTTCATTCCGAATATCTTAAGAATTGTGAGCTGATGTCCTAGAAATTGAAATGATGTACTCATAATTTAAGGTTACAATCAATTCAAATTGAAATGTAAAACATATCAAAAGTTTTGACAAAAACAATGATGCAAGGCAAGGGGTTCGGATTTGAAAAGTCACGTGTTGTATACACATTGTCTTCTTTGTATATACTACCGTAATCTATTTAAAAAAAAGTCTTTTCTTTTGGACGGCTCTAAACTAAGATCTATGATAAACGCAATGATTTAAATGTTCCAAATATCAGCTTGTGTCCCTTGATTTGAAACACATCAATAGATTCCAAAAGGCAATTGCATTTTTTAATTAAACAGGGGTTCAAATTTACTTTAGGCAATGGAAGGTCCAGGACCTTTGACCAAACAGACTGAAAGGTCCTCCTTTATTCTTAGAAGGTCCAATTTAAATTGAACTTGAATTTTGAAATTGAATTTATAAAAAATCAGAAAAGGCTAACACTTCCAAAGCACTCACCAGGTGTAACTGTTTAAAGGTATGATATCTAAAAACCCAAAAGGGACCATGTATGCAATGTTTTGGCAAAGTTTTTAACTAATGATATCTAGGTATGGTCTTTGTTTGATTATGTGACTTTGTGTTGTTTGTGAAAATGTGAGTTTACTGCTGAAGCATAAACAAGTAAGTAAAGTTTATAAACTGATTATCTTTAATTCAGTCTCAAATAAATCAAAACATCTAGTATTGTAACTATGAAGATAAATAAATAAAATGATAATAAATTGTTGCATTGTCATTATATGGCCATTCAAAGTTCTTATATATATGTTTATTTAAAACTGAATTAGTTATTCATTTTAACTCATTTTCCAGACATGGGCAGTTCATATTCTTCCTCTGTTTCATTCTTTTTCCCCTTTAATTTGTGCCCACTGCAGTGAGGGGTTCTGGTGCTATTCTCAAACCAATACATTATACTGGGTAAAGGTTCGAATTCTTTAATAGAAGGGCCTTCACTCATGATATACAGCTGATTTTGCAAAGATTCCTGTGTTAATTTAGTTCTCAATTTACTTTTTAATGTATTCATTAAGGAAAAACCCCTCTCACAGCCGCTAGTAGATGGTGAAATAGTAAATAACCAATAAATTAGCTTCTCAATAGCTGACAGACTTTGACTCTCATCTTCAACTAAAGTAGGACAAGCACCAAGTACTGCACCCTCATTTTTCCTTGTGGCAGCTTTATTTTGTAACACCATACTGTACATATTTAACAATGGATTTGCCCTAAATCTGCTTAAATAAAGTTTTAGTTCTGTCCATTCAGATTTGATTTGCTCCTTTTCATTATCAGAAAATATTTGATTAAACTCCGGTTGATTTACCAATTCTACTATCTGGTCATTACCAAATTCAGCAAGTTCAAATCCCCTACCAAGAGGCCACTGATGGAAATTAAATATCTGAAGAAGTGAGAGGGGTTTTTCATTCAAAGATTTGAATCTTGATTCAATATATTTAATGGTACCATCAATTAATGCATGGAGATCTTTATCAGATTTCATGTCAACAGACTGGACATTTCTTGTACTTATTTTTATTTCCCCAAATGTTTTGTTTGTTACATCAAATTTCTCTACAAATTGTGTACAATATTTCCCAGTACCATTTTTCAATTGAGTAAGATGGATGACAGCTGCTTCGATGTGATCATTTAATTCAATTACTAAATAATCATCAAGTTGAAAAGTACGGGAAAGCTTTGCCACAATGGGTAAGTAGTCCATTAGGAAATGGAGAAACTTAAGAAATTTGACAGATGTAACAACAGTGTGGTACCCTTTAGCTCTATTTGCATCATCAGCACGGGATCCAGCAACAAAATCATGCTCTAAATGACTTACAACAACCTCATAATTTGAAAGCATTGCTTTTACTGCCCTTTCCTTGCTTGACAACCAGCGTACTTGTTTTATATCACCAAAGTGCAAAAGAATTTGATCAAGAATCTCACTTATTTCTGTAAGTTCACGTCTGCGCTTAGGAGAATAATAGTAGAACTTGAAAACTCCTTTCAATGTGGTTTCAAATGTTGACATGTATGGAATAGTTTTATTCGCATCAAGTATTGCCAATTCAAGTTTGTGAGCAATACAGTGAATACCAATTGCTTGCGGTACCTCATCTTCAATCTTTTGAAGACACCAGATTTGTTACCAAAATTAACAGAAAGTCCGTCAAAATTACCACAAATAAGTTTAGGACCAGGGGTATCATAGTGGATCTTTTCCTCATTTAGGCCCACAATTTTAAGAGCATTAAGAATTACATTGAAAATCCCTTCTGCTGTAGCTGATTCTAAGGATATAAGATTAATCATTTTAGTGGTGGGCATACACTGGTCAACATACCGGAGATAAACTATTTCCTGTTCAATAACGGACCTGTCAGTACTACCATCTGACAAAATACTAACAAATGGTGCTGCAAGTAAACTTGAGACAATTTGTGATCTTAATTGCTGGGATATCCATTTAAGGAACAGTTTTCATCCCTCAATGTTGAAATACTGTTCTCCTATATCAACCTCATTTTTTTTCTGTACTTCTAAAATAAATTCATAGTCGGAAAAAGGCTTCCCCTTTTTCCCCACACTTTAAGCTGTATTAAATAAAATCTTGTATCGTTTTAATTGTTCTGGTCTTAATTTTTGCTTCAGAACACACTGACCTAACTTTGTGTCAGATAACAACTCGACCTTTTTATCAAACTTTGGATCCGTTTCTTTTAGCCACTGTTTTTGGCACGATAGATGCTGGGAGGTGGTTTCATGATTTTTGATGGGGTCAAGTTTAAAGTTTTTTGTCCCCCGAACCAGGGCACTTTCCCTTTCACTGTGTGTGGGATACTTGACACAATACGTGCACTCCATTAGACCAGTTGTCTCATCGAAATTAATCCAAGGACGATTAACCTTCCATTGGGGCAAAAATTTGCGTTCTCTCTTTTCCCGATCATATTTCTGGTCTTTGGTAAGATCCTGTTTTTTCGGCTGGGTTTCATCAGTCAACACCGATGGGTCACCTGTTTCATCGGGTTTTCGTTTAGTAGAGGTCACCCCAAAACGAAAAAGACTCATACCGTTTAATAGTAGTCCTGTTTGTCAATTGAATAATATATTGTCAAGATTCGCGGTATCTCGTACGACGACCGGTCACGTGACTACACACAAAATCATATTGTGAAGAATTTAAGCAAAACTCATAAGTTTCCTTTCAGTAAAATCATACATTTGAAGATTATTTTTATACAAATTTTATTTATTATATTCAAAATGCTTTCGATTTTTTTTTTAATCAGCAAAATACGAAAGTCCGTCGGGTCTAGCTAACTACCGGTTGGAAGGTCCGAACCCGAAAATGGAAGGCCACGGACCTCGGACCACCGCTAATTTGAACCCCTGATTAAAAGATTATCAGCAGGGCAGCACGTATCTTCTTTTTGTGTCTAATAGCTGGAAGCATCGTCCAGAACATCACTTGTAAGATTAAATTTTCGAAATGCGTAGATGATGAATCAAATAAGTTATTTACGTTGAATTTTTTTTTTCTGTGCAGGAGAAATCACGTAATCATAAAAAGATAAAGCTGTTAATTGGCTTTTCGAATAATATTTATCACATACAGACCTTCTAAAATTCAAACTGACCATTATTCCGTGCGTTCATCGTGTATCGTGCGTGTTGCGTGCGTGTATCGTGCGTGTATCGTGCGTGTACCAATCGTGCGCTCATCATTCATCGTTCCGTGTATTTTCCGTGTAACGTGCGTGCATCGTGTATTCTTAATCGTGTATCGTGCGTGTATCGTGCGTTCATCAATCATTCATTCTTAACCGTGTATCGTGCGTTCGTCAATCGTGTATAACTGTGTACATCAGATAACGTGCATTTGTCAAACGTTCATCTCTAATCGGGTAACGTTCATTCATTGCGGGTTTTATATGATAGTCGGTTATAGAGCTCATCAAAGCTTATATTTTATCTCACGGTTAAAGTGTATATATATGTTCCGACTTTAAATAAAATTTACATTCATACTTACTTTCTTGTGAACACTTAATTAACTTTATCGTACATAACGTTCATACAGATTCATGAATTTTTGTGTAAAATTTATTTATCATCTGTAAACATTTCGTGGTTATTCAGTGAATCTTGGCTGGGACT